CATGGCAGTGTCTAGGACAGGGTCAGGCACTTCCAGGGCTAAGACAGGGCGAGAGGTGAGGTTCAGGACAGTAGTTGTTTACTAAGTAGTTTAGAAGTAGTTCGGTATTTTAACAATGGTTGGCCATTCAGGTGCACACCAGCTGTGTGTATGTCCTAGAGGTAGTGAAGTACCCCCGATACATCCTTCCTTATGGAGTCTCCAATAATTTATGACATATTTGCTCATACAGTGTGAGAGAATTCTCTGGGGCACAAGAAGAGGTTGATCCATCAGCAAAGTTAAACATAGGAGGCAGAGAAGAGCTTACAAATGTTTTATAAATCAATAATGGCTGGTATTTTACAGTTTCCCTGAAAATAAAACATCCTCCGAAAATAAGACCTACTTACAGGTTTCCTGAGTGAACTATAAGGCATCCCCCCGAAAATAAGGAACCCCCAGGCTCTGTCTCAGAATGAAAATTAATTTACTGTAAACTGGTCGCTAGGGCCACCCTGACTGGCATCTAGCAACCAGTGACATTACTCGGAGTCCTGACATCACTGGTGTGTGGAGGCGGAGCAGAAGTCGCAGTAAGCGGTGAGCACAGGGCGGGAGAGAGACTCTTGCAGACTGAGTGTAGAACAGGAGGATTAGAGCAGCCGGTACGCAGTGAAGGTGCTGATTGCTGGTCTGTCTCTGGTGACACTACCTGATGCTTGCAGCCGCCCTCATGACGACTGAAGGTTCTCAGTCAGTGGCAGACACTGCTGCAGCCCAGATCCAGGCCCCAGCAAGCCCAGTGACAGTACCCAGGCAGGCCCCAGGGGGTAAATGTTTGATAAAGGGGTAGGGGGAGGTCTGGTGAAGGTATTCAGTGGCACAGGGGTGGGGGGAGGGGGATCACTTAAAATGACACAGGAGGATCAGAGGGGGCAATCAAAATGACACAGAAGGATTAAAAGGGGTTACTAAAATGGTAATCCCCCCTCTGATTCTCCTGTGCCATTTTGATTCTCCCCTCTGATCTCCCATGTCATTTTAAATGACCCCCCTCCCTCCACCTTGATACCCCAATTCCTTTTTTTTACCCCTAGAAATGAGCACAAAAAGAAAAAGCTACTCCGTGGAGTACAAGAAAGGAATCGAGGAAGACTCTTAGGGCCAAAATCTTACTGCTTTCTGCAAAGAAAAGATGTTGAGTATCCGATTGGTCCGAAAATGGCGAACAGAGTATGGTAACCTCATTGAACGAATGGACAAGGGAAATGCTAAAAAGCACAAGTGTGGATCAGGTTGGCAACCATTATTTTCCGAGCTGGAAGACCTGATCCGTGAATGGGTTGTTGACAGGAGAGCAAAGGCTTTGGTTGTGAATAGGGCTCAGATTCAAGAATTTGCCCTTGCAATGGCACAACAGTTTGACATAGCCCCCAAAGACTTTAAAGCATCACACTACTGGCTGGATAATTTCCTTCAGCAAAGTGAACTGTCTTGAAGACCTACCAGTACAACATTGGTAGGTTGGAAAATACTTGTTATTAAGCAAGCACTTGCATTCAAGTCCTTTATTGATGATGCTGACTTCTCTAAATACAATCTTTCCAACATGATTGCTATGGATGAAACTGCAGTGTTTATGGGCCAATCATCTCAAACAATAATTGAACAGCGATGTGCCTCCTTAGTGTATATTCCCTTCACTGCTTAGGAAAGTGCACGTGTTTCCTGTATTTTGGCAATTCGTCTGGATGGCACTAAAAACCCACCTTTAATCATTTCTAAGGGCAAGAAGGAAAAAATTGAATGTGTTTTGGGCATTTTTATTCTTGAAACTGAACAAGCAGTTATAAGGAAGTGGGTCGATTTAATGCTGTTGCTTGTTATGTGAGAGTCAAAGAGGTCTGCTAGTCTGGGATGCAGCCTGCATTCACTGCGCTAAAGACATGAAAACATTTCTTCACGAAAGAAAAATAGATCAGATAATGATTCCCACAGGAATGGCGGCCTATCTCCACACTCTTGATATTGCAATAAACAAGCCATTCAAAGATAATTTGCGCATGGAAATTAATGACTACATTGAAAATAGAATGGAGAGAAATCAGCGTGGAAACTTTGTGAAACCTAAACTGCAAGAAGTTGTGACTTGAGTGAAGAATTCATGAGAGAAAATCACTGACCGTAGCATTGCAAATGCACTGTGAGCAGGCTACCTTGACAAGAAGTATTCATTTAAAGACAGTGCTATTGCTAAACATGAGAGATTTGGTCCACTGATTCTGAAAGAAATGGAGTCACAAAAAATTCACCAGGAAATTCAGGAATTGGATTGTTATGATGATGTTTCAGAAGATGATGACAGGATTGCCATTGAATAAATGAGTAAATTCTTGATACTATAGGATTCAGTTGGTCTGGTTTGTGTTGAGAACTACCGTACTACCGTACCGTATACAGGTAATAAATTTCCTTTATTGTCATTTAACAATAAATGTGTACCGTATTCTTCTTCATGGAAATATCAATGCTTTCTGATGGCAGATCGAAGACACGCATATTCTCCTCCTTGAGATGAGCAGATGAGGTACAGTAGACAGGAAGATAAAGATTTCAATTTTCCTCAGTTGATTCCAACTTCCTTATGTTGATTGAGACTCCTCCAGGAAGTATTTAATTATCCAGCAAGTCTTAATTTTAGGAGGTGCTGTGAGCTCTTTTCACTTCATGGGAAATCCTGCTTTGCCAAGTTGATCAATCCAATGAATTTTGGTACATAACCAAATGGCCACAAGATATAACCCAAATTTATGAATCAGTTTGAGTTTAGCAAAATGGCAGGTGGTAAAGTGTTTCAATTTTTCTTTTTTAATTTTATAAAGGAGTTCAAAGAACTCTGGTGGATATGAAGACTGCTTTGAAATGATAGTTACTACCTTGATGTCAGAATCCACTAAAAGGGTTCAGTTAATAAAGTGGTTTATTCAGTGGTCAAAAGCAGGGATTCTAGTTCCAATCTCTGTTGTATTACTTGTGTGTTAGAGAAATAACTAAGCATCTCTATGCCTAAATTTCCACATCCATAAACATTTATTACACAGATCAGAAATGTAGGTGGAAAGATGTCATCTGAGCTGGGACTTAGTGGACAAATAAAATGGATAACAATTATAATAATTATTAACATCAGCCCTTTATGAATAAGAAGTCTGATGTTAGGTGAAAGGGGTCTTCAAATGCTCATCAAAATTTTAATTAACAACTATTACATGCAAGGTATGAGGGTTATATTGATGAAGGAGTCCGAAACACAAATAGGTAAGCATGGAAAAGTAATATATTCAAGGATCAAATATCTCTTACTTAATTCCACATTTTATAGGATAGTTTGCAGGAGTTACTTAAAATTTTGGACTTCAAAGTGTTACAGAAGACCGAAGAAGAACCAAGCAACACTTGGAGAGATGCAGTACACTTTATTATTATGCGCAGGCCGAGAGAAACTGTATTTCAGGCCCCAACATGGAGGAACTTTCCCTATTCAGTATTTGTTTTTACCTTCTTTGTCTCCCAAATATGGGATGTTTCCGGTCCCCTCTGCAAGTTCTTCAACAGCCCTATGTGCTGGGGCTTTGAGACCTCAACCAAAGGCTTGGTCTGGTGCCAGCACTGATAACTTCGTCTGGGGGAGGGTTATGGCCTCTCTGGAGTAGTCTTATTTCCTTATTATTTAAGGAAGCAAGCATTTACAGGAGCCAAAATAGCAGGGTTAAAATATCGAACAGCAGTTTTTATATAAATAGATGCTTCAAAAGACATCTTAGATCATCTATCCAATTTTCCATAACCCCACCATCCCACTCCTTTTCCACTTACTTTTCTACTAAAACCCAAGTATGCCTTTTAATAACTCAATGAAAATTACACTTAAAATGGATGCATTTTATTTTATGTAAACAGTACCTCAATAAATTTACAAACAAAACAAAATGACAGTATATTTTTAAGAGTTCATTTAGAAAAAAGAAAATGACAATTTTAATTAACAAGTAAAATATGAATACCTTATTTTTTTCATTTTTAAAAAGTATGTTTTTATTGACTTCAGAGAGAGAAAGGAAGATGAGATAAAAACATCAATCAGCTGCCTCTTGCACACCCCCTATTGGTGCAGGTGCCCTGACCAGCAAATAAACCATGACCTCCTGGTCCATGGGATAAAGCTCAACCATGAGTCACACTGGCCAGGCTGAATACCTACCTTATTTTTAAAAACTAATGTATTATGGGTAAAGCTAAAGTTTCCTTTAACCACCCTCCCAATATTCACAGACACCCCTTACCTGTCATCCCAAATAATCACTGCTGTGAGTTTGATATGGGTTCTTCTGAACCTTTAAAAATATATTTACATACATATATAGCCATTGAAAATGTATAGTACTGTATATATCTTTCTGTAACTTGCTGTTGTCACTTCACATTGTTTTTGAAATGTATCCATATTCATATAAAGTTTATTTTTAAAATCTTATATAAATAATCTGTTATATGACAATAGTGCATTTTACTTAGCCAGGCCTTTCCCCTCCTGACAGATATTTAGGTTGCTTTTCTCTATTACAACTCACCAGTGTAGTGCTAAATAGCAGTTACCACTGGGATGGCCATAGGAATGAGAGATGGTGTTCTGTAAGGTTTAATTTTTTACAATGAGAATGCATTCGTGTATTATTTATATAATTTAAGTACTGAATTAAAGAATTTTCTGATACATAAATTATTAAAAAAAGAAAAAAGAACAAAATTAGTAACAGGAAGATGTCATCTATTAAAATATATGGGAAACAAAGTTATAGTGCTTATGGTTTGAGACATAAACACTTACTGAAAAATAGTGACCTGAGCACTAAACAGATCATATAAACATTTCCCCTACTCAAAGCAATTACAGTGAAAATATCTGCATATTGGTTATCTTGCCATTAGCATAATTAACACATGCATGAATATTTAATTTATACTTTTTGCTTTCTTCTTTTATGACTATGATGTCTTTCCCCATCCCTGAAATGAAAGGGATAAAAAAAAAAAATTAAAGTAATAATTCATACAACAGATACAGGCCAGGACAAATTAAAATATGCATTTAGAACTGAAAAGTTATTTTTAAAGAGTAACTATAGAAACCGCATCATTAAAACTAAGGGACTAAATTGAGATGGGGATAAACAAAATGAATTTTTTAAAGCTCTACTTTGGAGCTCCACTTTAAAATTAACTTTGAATATACATACATGGCTGATGATCAGAGAATTCATTTCAAGTAGAATACTAAAATCAGAGGAGAAATTAGAAACAGTCTGATGTCTTTATCCTGGCTCCTGTCTCAACTCATTCTATCTCAGGAAGAATATCAAAGATTAGGCTATTGAGAAACATTTCTCCTAATACTCAGTTTATCTTCTTTAAAAGAGAATTATCACTTTTAGATTTTGAGCCTGTCTAATGAATTTAAGTTAATAGGGATTCATCAGACATATCAAAATTTACTTAAGAGGAAAAAGCAATAAACCAGAAAGAAGTTAAACAGCACGATTTCTGATAACTAATCAAGAGTTAATTTGTATAAAATTATCTCATTAATTATATGAATCAAAAGGGATTACTAACAATATTTAATTTTTATAAGAGAACAACTAAATTATAGCTAGCTTTAAATCTTTGAACTGAATGATAGTAAGATAAGTTAAATTATTAAACCATAAGCCTTACAATGTCCTGATCACCAGTGACCCTGGAGAGACAAGGTATCATTTGCAAGCCCATTTATCAGACAAGCACTGTGCACATAAATCCTACATAAGACAGGGGCCTGCCCTCAAAGAGCTCACAGCCTAGAAGGGAGAGTAATAATTACACATGTGCCAGGTAGACAAGTAATAAAATGGAAACGACCAGCTTTATTTGAGTGAATGAAAAACGGCTTCACGAGAATGACTAAGCTGGTCTTAAAAGATGAGGACTTTACCAAGCAGGCCTTAGGCAGCAGAACATGACATGGCAAGGTAGAAAAGTAACAGTGTGGATGAGAAACTGTAGTAATTCGGGCTGGCTAAAGCACTAGCTACCCATTTCATGGGTAGTGGCAAAATACAAGGATAGGTAAGCAGAGGCCCTGATCCTTGAGAGCCATTCTAAGGAAAATGAATTTTGCCACTGAGGAGTTTTAAGAGGTGAAATTAAGTTCACTCTGGCAGCAGGGTGGAGATGAATCCATAAGGGACAAGCTTCTAGACAGGTAGAGCAATTAGGAAAACAACTTCCTTTTCCAGATGGACAGCAATAATGACAGAGGAAGAGAAGGAGTAAATGAGGACTCTTCAGGTAGAACTGACAGCAATTAAGACTAGATAGTAAGGAATAAGAAAGGAGTATCTAACATGACTCCTTGATTTCTGGCTCAGGTGAACAAATGATGGTCATTCATTAACCAGGACAGGAAATGCTGGGAAAGAGGAACAGACTGAGAAAAAGATAAACTTAGGTATAGCCCCACTGAACATGGGATCTAGCCAGATGCTCAGTAAGCAGCTGAAATATAGGAATAGACCTCAACTGCTTTCAATTTATTACTTTAGCATTAGTTCATATCTCTCAGCTATCAAAATTTTATCAGAGATATTCACAGGGCAAAATTGACTGCTATTAAAGTTTGGATCTTCTCAATGATACTATATACCCTATACCATAGGAATTAGCAAAGGAAGAAAAAAAAAAAAGAGAGAGAGAGAGGGACAGTTGAAGGGAGGAAGGAAGCAGCAGGATAAAAAGCAAACACCTTTTTAACATAATTAACTGTCTTACCTACACATTACTTAAGAAACTCTACCTTTTAAAGGTAAACAATTCACTGTTGGACAAAACAATGTTAGACCTACCTCTCTTTCCTCCTTCTTGAGTCCCAATTTTTATCTTTATCTTTATTTCTTTTTCGTTTATGTGGGCTCCTACTCCGATCCCTTCTATGCCGTGAACACTCAGCATCCAAATAGCTTCCACCAGACTGCCGTGAATCTACTGAAGCTGATCGCCTTTCTCGTCTCCTGAAACAGACAGGACCATTCATCAGTTCACTTTCTTCACTGGTCTTCAGTGTGGACCAGCCTAAAGTTAATGTTCTGCATTAGACCAATGATACAGTATCTAAATAAGTGTGTAATTTTACATGTCATGTAAGAGGGCAGAGAGACACAGTTTTTATAACATGTTTTACAACTCTGGTGTAATAATCCTAAGCAATGAAGAGAAACAATAAGTGCTCTGATGAATACTAGTGTGCTATAATGCCCTTGGAAATACTAAAACTTAAACGATTATAAGAGTTTAAAAAGAGAATATTTTCACCAATAAACACAATGACATACTTTTCAGCATCATCCTGTGCTTTTTCCTGCTCTTCTTGCCAATTATTAGTGAGTTCTTCCATGTGCACATTTATCACATCCCGAATCACCTTAGAGAGTTAAGCACAGGATTTCAGATAAGAAAGCTGTTCAAAAAATTAAGTTTAATGCTAGAAATAAATCACTGCTGACAATCTAATATTTATTAAAAGTTATGATACAGTGGACTGTATGCAGTTTAGATAACATTAAAAAGGCAAGTCAAACTGTAATATGAATGGCAGATTAAAGTATATCAATGTTAAATTTGTTAAAGTAACATTATGCAAGAAAATAACCCTAGTCTTAGGAAGGAAATAGCATTAGGGATAAAGGATCATAATGAACAGTTCAGAAAAAAATTAATGTACAGATAGAGACAGAGCAAAAAAAAAAAAAAAAAAAAAAAAAAAGTAACAATAGAGAGTACAAATGGCAAGCAAATTGAGCAAATGTTAACAATGGTGTCTGTATAAAAGACACACAGGGGTTCTTTCTATTATTTCCAGTTTTGTAATTTATTTGTATGTTCAAGATTTACAAGTAAAACTCTTTTCTAAAAAATCTTATAATTAAGTCAAGATGACAGACAAAACATGAAACACAGAGTCACTTCACAGATACCTTCCCAGCGAGCCTATAGGTCACTCACCTAAGAACCATTTAAATTTTTTTCCTTCCTATTTATCCTATAGCGTTGTCAAGCACAGGGGCTGGTCACTATTTAAGTGAAAGTGAAATAGAAGGTCACATTGGTCCTGAGTGCCTAATTAGGAAAGTTTTAAGAAGAAAGGTACAGGAAACAAGGGGCAATCTCAGAGACACACACTATGGCTCAGGTCTGACTGATTTGCTCCCCACCTCAAAGAACTTTTCAAAAGCTCCTGAAGTAAAATGGAACAATGTCTAAAGTCCTTAATACAGCCTTTGAAGTTTTCCATGATTTTACTATGCCACATAGATGTCAAATGTCTACTGAATGCTCGTTCAAAATCCCTACATTCTAGCCACCCTGGATTACACTTGGGTCCCTGGAAAACTTCTCTACTTATATTTATTTTTAGCAACACTAGTCCTTCCACCTGGAAAATTCTTACCCACTATTTCCCCTCCTCCACTATATTCTCTTGTGGAAAATCTAAGATAGGTGAAGGCCTACCTCAGGGAGTGGCGTAAGTCATACATACCTGAATTCCAATTCAGCTCTAGCACTTCCCTGTATGACTCTGCCCAGTAGCTTTATGTGAGCTCTGGGAAGCCAAATGTTATCGGACACGGTATCCACAGAGCCGCCACACAGAGCCTATAAACAGACCTTCACTTACCCCCGACCCTCTGCTTCTCCCTTCTCTCAAATACTATCTTCTCTATGAAGCCTACACAAATCTTCCCTTTTAAAAAATTGATCCCTTCACCACACACTTTGATCTCACCTCATTTTAGCACTTACTACAATCTGTGTTTTGAAAAATCTTTTTTATTTCTTAAACTATAATAATTCCTTAAGGAGGGGTATCTGTGTGCATTTATCTTTACATACTCCACAGCAGTATGTTATGCATAGTAACTACACTAAAGATAAATATTTTACTGAAATTAGTCAAAATTCAGATTCTAAGTCAGAACAAACAAAAACATCTATATATATATAAAACCCTAAACGACAGTTTGACTGGCCAACTGTTCAACCTTTTGACCAGTCACTTGATGCACACTGACCACCAGGGGGCAGATGCTCAACACAGGAGCTGCCCCTGGTAGTCAGTGCACACCCATAGAGGGAGTGCCGCTCAGCTGACTGATGTGCGCCAGACACGGGACTTACTGCTGGCAAGTGTAGTTGTAGCAGTGGGAGCCTCTCCTGCTTTATCAAGTGGCAGTGGCGGCAGGCACAGCGGGAACTGGGCCAGAATGAGCAGGAAAGGCACAGCCCCAGCCCAGGGTCAGGCTCCTCCCCAGCTGCCTGCTGCTTTGCACATTACTACATCCCTCGGGGGATCCCGGATTACAAAGCCACTAGTACAAGGTATCAATGAAACTAGGATTGGATAAAATGTTGAAAAAGGCCTGGCCAGAGATAAATTACTAAGAAAAACTAGACACACTGAAGTATTTGCAGACAAAAGGTATTTGGGATGTTTCCAAAATTACCAAGCAACTGGGAGGAGAAGACTTAGCACATTTAGGAAGGTTCTAAATGGGGGAATAAATAAAATAAGATCACATGTTGAGACTGGGTCATGTACATAAGGAAGGGTTCATTAGACAATTCCATCCACTTTAGAATATTTTGAATATTTATGTAATAAAAAGTCAGGCATTGTAAAAAAATTGTAAAAAAAAAAAAAAAAAACACTAGCAGCAATACAAACTTGATCACAAAGTTATGAGTAGAGAAGAAACAAATGATATACAACGAAGTATTTAATGGATTGTAAGAATCACTAAGGTAGTATAACATGGTCCCAGACCTCTACTGGGACAGATAAGTCAACAATACATATATACTTTAATTACAAAAAGAACAGCATAAAATTAAGTGCTAACACCTATCCTATATAATAAAAGGCTAATAAGCAAATTGTCCCCACAGGCAGTTCAATCAACTGGGAGTCAGACGTGCACTGACCACCAGGGGGCAGTGGCGGCAGACAGCCGGGGGAAGAGACAGCCAGCAATCGCTAGGGACCCTACCCATGCACGAATTTTGTGCACTGGGCCTCCAGTCTATACTAATAAGAGTAATATACTAATTAGACCAGGACAACTTCTAGATGTCCTTCCGGACAAAGCCGGGGCTTGGCCAGCCTGAAAACCACTCCCAAACGGTCCTCAGCCCCTTGCCAAAGCCAGCCACGCCCCCCAGAGGGGACCCTTACACCAATGAGGGCGTAGCAAATGGCCATTAGCATTTTGCCCAGGCCCAGCCAGCCCCTAGCGGGATCCTCACCCCGATGGGGTGTGGCCAGCCTGCAAACTGCCCCAGGCTTCCCGCCCAGGCCGGCCCTACCCCCCAAGAGGACCCCCAACCTGATACAGGACTCCCTTTGGGGCGGACCAGCTAGGCCCCACCCATGCACCAGGCCTCTATTCTCTACACTAATAAAAAGGTAATATGCTAATTAGACTGGAACATCTATAAACCACCCCGGACAAAGCCATGGTGGCATGGCCAAGGCAGAGGCGGTTAGGGACAATCAGGCCAGGAGGGAAGGGCAGTTGGGGGCTATCAGGCTGGCGGGGGAGTCAATTGGGAGCAAGAAGGCTGGCAAGGGGGGCAGTTGGGGGCAAGCAGGCCAGCAGTGAGGGGCAGTAGGGGGTGAGCAGACTGCTTGGGGGGGGCAGTTGGGGGCAATCAGGATGGCAAGAGGGGCAGTTGGGGGAGAGCAGGCCAGCAGGAAAAGTGGTTAGGAGAGGCAGAGACACGTTCACACCGGAGTCCCCACTCCAGATGTGGTGACAGACCTACAACCAGAGGAATACTAAAAAATATGGAATTCTCCCTGAAAGAGTGAAGGGATTATGCCCCACAGTAAGCACTCCCCAACTCTTGGATCTGGCACCGAAAAACGAGCCCCCAAAATGTCTGGTTTTGGAAAAGCAGTGGGGATTAAGTCCACAAGAAACATAGAGCTATAAGGAATGGAGAATCTGCTCTTAAAGGGTTCATGTGCAGACCCACTCACCCTGAGATCGAGCAAAAAGCAACAGTTTGAAAAAGCCTAGACCATAAGTGAGGGAGACCCACTTACAACTTAATCTGGCTGCCAGAGAGGCAAGAACCTGTTAAGACTTTCCCTGGGGACAGAGGCTCTGGCTGGCACCCTTTATGCAATCTCATTCTAACTTGCTGGTAACCCTTCCTCTAGCCTGCCAGCACTGGTAGAGCAATCTGCCTACCCCACGCCAGTCAAGCACCCCAAACAGCAGCCACATTATAACCAGCCAGGCAAGCACACCACCCCACACTCTCCCCATATATCAGCTGTAACACAGCCAGGCCAGATGAGCACCTGCAACCTGCCCATCTCACACTGCAGCTGGCCCTGCCACAGGCCACAGGTAAGCACAGCCCATAGAAGGGATGCACCTTGAGCACCTGGCTCGGGTAGCAAGAGCAGATTGTGCCGCTGAGTCCCACAGATCATCTCCTGCACAAGGTCACTCCTTCAGGACTATTTTGCCTAATACATATAGGCAAACACAGGGAGTCAGGCAAAATGAGTAAACAAATATGGGTCAAACCAAAGAACAAAATCAATCCAGAAAAAAATACCTTAATAGATAAGCAACCTACCTGACAAAGAGTTCAAAGTAATAGTCATAAAATTGCTCACTGAAATGCAGATGAACATGAGAACTTTAAGAGATGAAAAATATAAAAAAGGACCAAATTATAACTGAACTGGAAAATACAATAGAGGGGTTCAACAGCAAACTGGATGAAGTAGCAAATATCCAGGTTAAAAGACAAAACAAATGAAAGTAAATAAAATTACAATTAAGGAAATCATAAACATAGAAAATGTGTTGTCAAGACTATAACATGGGTAGGGGAGTAAAATGTAATAAACCTTTGGAATGTGTACAAAATTAAGTTGCTATCCATTTTAAAAAGACTACTGAATGCATAGGATGCTGTTCAGACTGCAGAATGAGCTTGGACCCATTGCACATGGGTTCTCTGTGGAGACACCTCAACTTGGACATCCATACAAGGACATATTCCCTTGAAATTAACACTAAAGAAACTGTAAGCTGTCTATTTGCTTTAGGGATCTGGAAAATTGCAGGGTCTTACAATGTGGGCTGGGGAAATGTGTACAATCAGGGTCATGCTTACCCAGTTAAGTTATTGATTACAGATAACTTGAGTGATTTGGATATTTCAGCCTATAGGCCAAAATACTGGCTAAGACAGGATTTAGGAAATATCACAGGACAAGATCCCCTAGGCCACTGCCACCACCATGCAAACTGAAGTAGGATATAAGGAAATGAATGCCTGAGTGGAATGGATTATTTACTCTGTATGCGCCCTAAATAAAAGCGACTGTTACACTTGTGTGGC